CATTGGTTCCGGTTATTTAAAAAAAAAAAAAAAGTGGGGGAGCGCTGTGGTTCGGCGTCTTCCGACCCGGCGCGACACCCGCGCGGCTGCCGCGGCGACGCCGGGATCCGCTGCTCTGGCGCGGCCAAGCCCCAGCCCAGCGCCCGCGCCACCGCCGCGGCGCATCCCCCCGCCCCCTCCGGCCCGCGCCCGCCGTAGTACCACGCTCGGCCGGGACGCCTCCCTCCCCTCACACTCCAGCTCTCATACCAATCCCCCGCCTCCCTCAGCCCCGCCACGGCGCAGGCGCGACGCGGCGGCTCTGCGCCTGCGCGGCGCCTCGGCCCCGCCCCCGGGGGCGTGGCCGGACCGGTGGGCGGGGTGCGGTCAGCCTCCCCGGCCCGCCGTGCTCCGCCAGCCGAGGAGGCTGATCGGGAGGAAGGCTTGAGTCTCGCCCACGCCGCGATCAGGTGATGGGCAGCCGGGGGACCCGGAGAAAGCGCGCCGACGTCGCAGGTCCTCGCGTGACCGCGTGGGCCAGGAAAGCCACGCAGTAGGCAACAGCGGCCTCCCCTAACTTGGCGGCAGGTGGGGCTTGCCGGTTGCCAGCTGCCTGGAAGTGCTGGGTAACCCAGCCTAGCGTTGCATTTGCTTGACAAACGTTTGGCGAAGCGCTCACTCGTGTCAGCGTGCTTGGAATTTCTCTGAGCAGTTTACCGCGGCACAGGGTAACGCGTCCTTATCGCCATTTTTCAAATGACGAAATCTAATCCCTGAAATGTCAAAATAGCTTAACCCGCCGGCTCACGGCTAATAAATAAATGGACATGGCCCGATTTAGCAACTACTGAACGGAAGTGTTCAGATAATTTGCTCTAGCTTTATACTGTTCTTCGTGCTGACCTTACCTGCAGTCATCGCCACTCGGCTCCCATCCCACCCCTCCTGTAGACTCTGCCCGCTGAACAGGCAACCGCAACTTAGACGTGACCGTTTTGCTTGTCTGAAACGAAGCAAAGTTTTGTGCATTCTCTTACAAATTCTGCCCGGGACAGGCTTAACTGGCTTAAGGGGGAAAGAACCAGAATCTGTCTCGTCCAAGTAATTGCCATCACTGAAGTGGAACTGTATTGTTGTGGTTGCTGTTTGGGTGTTTTTATTATCTTATTTTGTCTAGTTTTACTTGTGGTGGGAGTGCCCAGGATGTGACTGTGTGAATGGCACTCAGCTGCTAGCTACATACCTTGGATACCCATATCAAAGCATTTCTTCAGGAAACTTTTGAAATGTGAAAGGAGGTGCTGAACACACACACATATTTAAGATCTTGTAGCTAGGATTGTTATGAACAGAGGTCCTGCTACTGTTGGTTTCTGCTATTGGCTTGGAGTTTAGATGATTTTGTTTCAGAAGTCAAGAAGTCAAATTAGACAGCCGCCAAAATAAGTTCCAAGGAAGCCTGACCAAAAGAACATCGTCTATCTCTCACAGTGAAAGAGGCAGAAACACACCGCGGGAAAGACTCAGGAGCAGTCGTGAGGGGAATCGACCGTCCACAGTTATTTCTTCACACGCTTCTTGGGGGCATTGTGTTGGAGGGCGGAGTCAGCGTCTCACAGGCAACAGTAAGCCTCTGTTTTGCTTGCTGAAAGGAGAAGCAATGAAGTCATGTGTTTGCTGAGTAGACAGTATACTGCTGGGCACCAGGAAACCATGAAATAAACAAGTTCTTTTCCTGCTCTCCAGGAAACCATTTAATTCATCAACGTTTACAGAACACATAATATATGCCAAGCAAAGTATTATATGGCGGAGATTCAGCAGACTAAGAAACACTTGAAAAAGTCAGATAAGTCAGAAATTGAAGCTATAAGAGTGCTAACAGTCCTTTCCTAAGGAACTTTACCATCTTGCATGGGAGATAAAATGTATGTCTTTTTAAATAATTAAAGGTTATCTTTATACAAGGTAAAAATCAGTTACTAAAGTGGGTAGTGCAAACCCTGTTGTGGCGATAACAATATGAAGCCAGGAAAAATGAACAATTCGCTGGGCCCACGCTTCTCTAAACAAAGATGACATCCCATTTACTTCAAAGACAGGGTGTGTGGCCCTGAAAAGATACTGGATTCGGAGTCGTAGTGTTTATTTCTCATCACTGGGGCCACAGGTGAGGATCCGGCATTCACTGTAGGTGCCTCTCTCAAAGACGGGCTAGAATAAATCTTTACCTTATATATCTTTTTCATGGGAACCAAACTTCCTGACTTAGATTGAGCAGCCGCGGCACAGACCGTTACTCAGCAGGGTGTATCGTAGTGTCCCTGTGCACCAGAGCACAGGCCTAGGTAACAGACAAAAGCACGTCCAATACTTTGCAAGAAAATCCCGTCCGTAGAATTACAGAGGCATAATTATACTTGTAAGCCACACATAAACACAGGGCTTGAGGGGTAGCAATTTTCATCTTCTTGGGTTCCCTTTCATTTCCCTAGTAAGCTAGAGCTTCCTGTCAGTCGTTTCTCTTGCCAAGTTCCATTCAACAGCTACCTGGAACCCCTTTCCCTTGGTGGCCACCCTACTCCTAGAGCCCAGCCTCCTCTTTTTAAAGTCCAAATCTCACAACTTGCCACGTACTTGCAGACTGTGTTCGTTGTCTTCACTAAAGCAGGCTTGACTTCAAGCGTTTGATGGGCAGGCTTGAACTTTGTTACCAGACCAACCTCGTAGAAACCTCAACTCCATCTTTTCAGTGTGACGCGTAGGCAAGTTAATTAGGAACCCAATTATACCTGCACCACAGAGTTATTGGTGGTTGCAGCGGAGTGGAAAAAAATAGTAACACAGCCTTCCCTGGATGCCTGGCACCCAGGTGCTTTGTACTTCGTGACTCTGGCCTCGGGCTCTGGGCGTGTATTCCAAACGCGTTCCTGCGTTAGGTTTAAACGCATCGCACCTCCGTCTGGGCTGCTCGACTTCATCTTCCGGCAGAAGAGCCCAAGTCTCAGTGCACGCCCAAAGCAGAAGCACTGCCCCGGCTCCTCCCCATCCTCTGCCCCTACCCCCCCCCCCCCCCCCCCCCCCCCCCCCCCCCCCCCCCCCCCCCCCACAGCCTACACAGCCAGCTTCGGGTTCCAACTTGGAGAACCGGATCTCGGCCGGGGAGCAGAGCCAGGCGCCGGAGCCTCCCCGCAGCAACGCGCATGCCCGCAGCCGCCACAGGTGCGCGACTCCGGCGCCGAGCGCGCTCGCGTTCCGTGGGCGGACCGTCCGCGCGCGCCCGACACCCGGGTGACGACGTCAGCGCGTGGGCGGCCGCGGTGGCTCTAGGAAGGAGCGCCGTGGGCGTGGGGCGGGATGGAAGTGGCACCCAGGGGAATTCCGGCTGAGGTCGGGCCTGCCCACAGCTTCCCCGGCCTGACTGTGACCCCAGGGATTGGGGGTTCCTGCCACACAGGGTAGGGGAGCACGGTGGACTGGTGCTCCTTACTCGCCCTTCTTAGCCAGCTCCTGGGGAAACGCAAGGAACAGTCCTCTTTGGTGGAAACCCGGTTATGAACTGGGCCACTTTCACAGCTTCTTAGGAAATTAAGGTCCTGAGAACTTGGAAATATCCAGTGATAACAGCTAACACGGTGACGATAAGAAAGCAAGGAAAGTTTCTGCATATGAGTAGGGTCAAGTTGTAAAGTACACTAAAGCGCTAAAAGGGAAGGGGAAGCAATTCGAGGGAAGCTGTTCACTGGGAAGCCCCTTGCTGCCTCACCCCAGTAAGAACGGGCTGCTCCTGGCCCAGCTCAGTGAAGGTGGAGACCTTGGCATCTTTCTCTGGAGGAAGCTTTTTAAAAGCGGCTCCACAAGACAAAAGAAAGTCAAATTTGCCCACCAAAACCAAGCGGATCCGTGTTTTGTGGGATAATTTGTTACTGATCAAAATAAGTTTTCTCTGTTACCGCTTAATTTGAAGCGTTGTGTGAGAGTTGTTGATATCTTTGGCAAGTATCTTTGGTGCCTGTGATAGGAGCAGTGTTGACATTTCCTGTGCGAGCGGAACTCGAAGAGAAAACTATCACAGCTGAAAACGACCAGACATTCGAATGATAGTTCAGGCCGGAATACCAGCACTTCAGAAGGTAGCTGGGGCAATGGTGCAAAAAATAACACATGGCAGACACGCACATATGTGTGTATCTGATAGCAGGTGAGACAGAAAAAGTAACTGATGAGGTAGAAAAACACTTCAGTAAAATGCTTCTGGGGCAGATGGTGGCACACACCCAGAACCCAGCTTCGGGATGATAGAAACTGGAGATGGAGGAATTCAAGGTCAGTGTAGGCTTTGTGAGTCTGCTGCCTTAGAGAGAGCGTCTAATTCAGATGCCTTCCAACTGATCCTTAATTCACATAAAAGGGGGAGAAGATGGCAGTGGTAAAGTGTAAGCATTAGGCAAAGTACTCTTCTGTGGCTCTAGAGTGCTAATCATGTTCCTAGCGAGAGAGCTGGAGAACTAACTCTTGTGGTAGAATGTGTGTGTGTGTGTGTGTGTGTGTGTTTCACACAGAAGCTCTGGGCTCAATCACCACAACATATACACACATAGTACACTTAGAACCCACCAAAAAAAAAAAAAAAAAAAAAAATTAAAAAAAAAAAAAACTTAGTAAAGTAACAGGTTACAAAACTACATACCAAAATTAAAACAACAACAAACTATTGGCATAATAAATTGTAATAATAACCAAGGATATGAAAGATCTCTAAACTGAAAACTGTGCAACACTTCCAAAAGAAAATGTGAGGACCCAGTCAAGTGGAAATACAGCTTGTTTGATGAGAAGGCATATTGCTACTCCCCAAAGAGATCTACAGACTTTCAATTCTTACCGAAGTTCCAGTATTCTTTTTCTTAGAGACAGAAAAATAAAATTTGTATGGAACAAAGGAAGATTCCAAATGAGTAAAGCAATCCTGTAAAAAAAAAAAAAAAGAACAAAGCTAAAGCCATAACACTCCCTGATTGTGATACGTACTTGAAAATTACTGTAATCAAAACAAATGGTGCTGCCATCAAAACAGACACATTAAAAAGCCTAGAAACAAATTCAAGTACTGACTATCAATTTTCAACAAGTATCAGGAACACATAAATGGAGGGAAATAGTCTGCTTAATCGGTGGTGTTGAAAATCTAGATTTTCACATGCAGAAGAATGAAAGTAGACCCTTCTCTCACATCAGACTAAAACTCACCTCAAAGTGAAGAGATGGCTAGTGGTTAACATACTGCTCACGGACCTAGTTCCCAGCACCCATGGGGCAGCTTATAACCATGTGTAACTCCAGTTACAGGGGATCTGATCGCCCTCTCTGTCCTCTGCAGTTAGATGAACACATGTGTTACACAAGAACTCATACACACATACATATAAGTAATAGATAAAAGTTTAATGGATAAAAGATTCCAAATGAAGATAAAGGAGATACATGACTGAAAGGAAACAAAAACTGAGGCGACATGCCACTTGAGCTAGCCACAACTTTGCGACAAAGACTGCTGGCTGCCAGGTCTCTCACAGTGTATCCACGGAGGACTTTGGAGACTTCTGGATTTTTGAAACAAAAGGCTGGGAGGAAAATGAAGTTCTCAGCACCCAGCATCTAAAGGCTCCTAAAGGAGACATGAACTCCCCCACACTTTTCAATTCCTGCCACCTTTCTCTCCTGGCATCAGAGCAGACCTCAGAGCAGCAGTGGCATTAGCTATGCATGAGCTGGCTGAGCCAGCAAGTAAATGAGAGCCAGCGCTCCTCCCCAGCTGTCCACCTGCAGCCCGCAGCTTCCCGTAGAGTCTACCACTTTTGTGACAAAAAGGATAGCTCAGATCTAAAGCATGAGGAAAGGCATCATGAGGATGTGTCCCAAACTAACACGACAGACCTGGAATATGTGAACATCACAACACTCTGGCCACAGCCACCAAAGAGGTCCTAGACTTCAACAGTCCCTCTCCAAGCACAACACAACAGTGATTTCTATGTTGGGATCTAACATTCCCAAGCATTAATAGCAGCAGCAAATAGAGAAATATGACTAAGCAAATCAGAAGAGGCATGGAAACTTAATTCAACATGTTGATAATAAGAGAACCATAAACTTAAAAGTATAACATACAGGAGGAAAGATCTCCTTGGTCCATGATTCCAGAAGTTACTTTTCATGGTAAGCTCTCTCCATGTTTTCTGGGCTCATGGTAAGGCAGGATATCATGGCCAAAGGATGTGGTGGAACCTTGTTCACATCATGGCAGCATGGAATCAAAGAGAATGAGTCAGAGCCGAGAAATAACTTCCCCCAGGTAGAGCCTATCTCTTCAAGTTTCTAACAGATCCCCAGAGCATACCAAGAGCTGGAGGGAAAGCCTCCAACACGTAATATTATGAGAGATTTTTCATATTTAAAGCAAAACACTTCAATCCTAGTCCTCAAAAACACATGTCTATCCTTGTCTAACACTGGTTAGTTTTATGTCAACTTGACATGAGTTAGAGTCAGATCTGAGAGGAGGGAATGTCAATTAAAAATTTCCTCCCTAGGTTCAGGCTGTAGGGCATTTTTTGTTAGTGACTGATGGGGGAGGGCCACGTGGGTAATGTGGTCTGGGTTCTGTAAAAAAGGAGGCTGAGCAAACCATGAGAAGAACATCTGTAAGCAGCATCCGGCATGGCCTCTGCATCAGCTTCTGCCTACGGGTTCCTGACCTGTTTGACTTCCTATTATGACTCCCTTCCTTGATGAACAGTGATGAGGAAGGGTAAGTCTAATAAACGCTTTCCTCTCCAAGTTGCTTTTGGTCATGATGTTTCATTATAGCAACAGTAATCCTAACTAAGACAATCCGATCCCTCAATGCATTTAATCTCACTTTCAAAGCTCTCGGAGTCTCAAAAGTTCCACCATCTCAAAAACAAAAATCAAAACAAAATAAAACAGAAAAAAAAAAAGGTTGAAAATCTGCTCTAAGACTTCAGGCAAACTCTCTTGGAGTATTTCTGTAAATGCTGAAGGAAAATTACATACTCCAGACACACAATGGTGGAACAGGGTACATATCCCCTTTACAAAGGGGAAGAATTAACAAGAGGAGGAGAGAAAGGATGGGACAAAAGCATGATCAAAACCTAGTTAGACAAACTTTAAAACCTGTATCTCTATATCCAGTATTCAGGGAATATAGTAGCCTGATGTGAGCTCCTAGGGTTGGGAAATGCCCTCGCCCACAGCCTTCCCGCGCTTACCCCACATCTCACTAGCTCCACTAGTTGCGTGTCGCTTACTTTGGTAAACATTTCACATTTCTGGTATCTCCAGTTTTCTGGAGTCTTCATTGTTTCTTAGAGTTCATTCTCATGGCTTCAAATACCACCTTTCAGAGACTTTCTACAGGAATTTCTGGCCTTCCAGATTTTCCTTTGAAACCTCGGTAGAAGTTTCCATAACCCTACAATTCTCGAATTCTCCATGCCTGTAAAGCCATCATTGCATAGACAATGCTAAGGCCTACCCCCAGGTTGAGCAAATGAACATGGTGACATTAATCCTGGAGAAGAGTTCCTTAGCAGCCTGTGGTGAACATGGTACCGGGGGGGAGGGGGGTACTTTGTCTGGGAGGAAAGTCTTTCAGACAAGCCTGCATTTTATACCCCTGGCTCTGGGGTGGGTGATGTCTCTTATGCTTTAAGCAGACTCCAGAATCTTTCCTATTGTCCAAAGGTGAAGTTCTTACTTCTTTATGATGGCACTGATCTCTTTAACAAATATCCTCAAATTTAAATATGCTCTTTTTCTGATCAAACTGGTCTACTCCTTGCTCCTTATTCTCACTATAAAACTGGATAAAAGTAGCCAGCCATGCTGATACTATAGCCTGAACACCAGCTGTCTTGAAAGTACACTCATTAGCTTAACTAGTCCACCATTTTTT